TATCCGGAACTCTGCGTTTATGAAAATGCTACCGGAGAACCTGGTCCGCCTAGTGTGGCCGACGGCACACAGGGCTTCCACCATGACCATCATTTACAAGGCGCCTCACTTGTACACCAATTTGACTCGGCTCCAAGCCTGTCACCACGGCAAGCTCACTCCAGCCCGCCCCCGTACGTGGGTGATACGGTTACTCTTCCAAGAGAGTCCTTTGATCGTCTCGTCAGCACCTTGGAGACTCTTCGAAGAACCTACAACGACCTGACGGCAGACATGAAAAAGCTCACCTCGGGCGTCTCAAGCAGTGCAAATCCACCGCATTATATGGAGAATGGCCAAAACCCATCCGCTTTTCTACAACCGGTGGCCCGTGTAAGCCAAAAGGATGACGACGAAAATCACATGCATGGCAACGCAGGTATCCACACCCGGAATAAGGTCACGGGTCAGACCATCCACATAGGAAGCAATTCGGTTCCCGCGCTTGTCATGTCCTACTCACCACACCTCGAAGAGCTTCTTGGGACAAGCATACTCCCAGCATTCGGCCTCGAAAACGAAAGTGCCACTTATCCTTTTGTCGGACTGTCCGATCTGAAGCAAGGTCGTATAGCAAAAATACTGGATCTGTGCAGAGCGCTTCCAAGTGAGCAGGAATGTAACCGATTTTTCATGGCGTACCGCGACAGCGCGTATATCCTGTACCCCGCCATGACGAACGTGGCAAGGTTCAATGAGGATCTCCGTCAATTCAGCAGAGCGCGAGCGGCAGCTCAAGCCATGCCGGGGTACAACGGTGTCAATGAGCAGACTATCTACGGCCATAGTCTTTCGTGGATGGGCCTTCTCTTCGCAGCCATGGCGTCCGGGTGCCAGTGCATCAAGCAGCCCGGGAAAGAGCTCGACTTGACGTCTCAAGTTTTTGTCTGCTGCAGCTTCGAGTGTCTGCGGCTGACGAACTTCTTCTCCAATCCTTCGCTCGATAACATCCAGACGCTGCTTATCCTTGGAAACGTCATCTCGAACTCTATGAATGCGGGCGTTGCCTGGTCGCTACTCGGACTGACCATCCGGCTGGCCATGGTGCTTGGGCTGCACAAAGAGTCCTGTGAGGGCACGCCCGCCACAGTTAAGGAAGACCGAATCAAGGTTGCATGGGCCATCCTCTGGCAGGACAGTTTGTTGTCCATCACTTTTGACCGCAACTCGGCTCTCACGAGTCTCGATCTCTTCAGTCACGGAATCCCCCCGGAAGGAGAATCCCCTAACGGCTATACGTACGCAGGCTGCATGTACAAAGTCTGCAAAGTAGGCTTGGATATCGTGCGTGAGCGGGCTGTCTCGCAAGACCCACTCGAATCTTTGCAGCGCATGAGCGTGCACGAAGCCGAGTTACGCAAGATCATGGCCAGGTCGGAGTTGTATCTGAAATCACTGGCGCACTGCCGTACGCCGCTCGAGCAGCTGCAACACTGGGCCATGTACCTGCACATATCATACATCATGTCGGAAGTGTGCCGCGAGGCGATCAAGCCGCGCATCCCGACGAGTGACCTGACTATTCGCATGCGCACCACCTGCATTGAGTCCCTGGCCAACACGGTCAAGGCCTTCCTCGGACTCTACCAGATCACGGCGTTTGCGTCGCGGTCATGGGCAGCGCTATCACGTGCGCTCAGCTCAGCGTTCGTTCTTGGGATACTGGGCGAGGCCGCAAGGGACGAATCGATCCGGCTGCTGCTCAGCGATTTGCTCGGGTGTTTGCACGACATCATGCAACGCAATACGGATGATATCGATGAGATATCGGCGCCGATTAAGCGATGGGCTACAAGCTTGGCGAAGTTGACGAGCACGTCGCCTGTCGGCACGACTGGTATGTCGCCGTTGCTGGAGCTGGACTCGGACGATTCGCCGTATGCGAGGGCAGAGGAGATTATCTGGGGATGAGGGACGAGGGGAAGTATGGAGTTGGGTGGGAATGGGATTGAGCGGTGCCGGGACTTCTCTGCTGGATGTAGGGGCTACGAGTACAGATTAAGGTCGAGGTTCAAGGCAATAGGCCTGATAATGCGATATCCTCATGGAAAAGCGACAATGCCAACTCAATGGTGAGAAATGCCGATATCGCAGAGGTGTATATCCGAGATGAGGTCACTCCCTGCGCTACCCGCATCTACCCTGCTGGACGTGGCGTTCAGCTTGGGCCCAAGGGGCCCAAGCTGCGGGGCAAAGCCGTCGCTGCAAGCCGTGCAGGGGGGGACGCGGGGCCCGAAACTGAGTACCGAGACGCCATCACCAAATGCTTGCCCTCCCGCCCGCTGAGCGGGCAGCGGAATTACCTGCGCGTGCGCTGTTTTCTTCTCTACGATCTTCCATTTAGTTTTCGGCATCTTCTAAGACCGTTTGACGCTTTCCTGGCTTGAATGAGACGGTCCTTTGTCCGCAATTGCTGCTACTGTTCCTTCCTCTGAGCTTCACCATGTCGTCCTCGTCTGCTCTGCGCCTCCGCACCGCGGTGCACTATGCGAAGACGAAGGGCCGCTTTCCGACTGTAAATCATGTCTACCCTTCCCGTTGTTATGAACGTACTAACTATCCTGCGCAGCCCCTCCTCGCCCGCACCTTCGCCTCCTCCGTTCCCCGCGCCGCAATCAACAAGGTCGTCGACTCCGCCGAGGCCGCGATCGAAGGCCTTGAACCAAATGACACCCTTCTCTGTGGCGGCTTCGGCCTCTGCGGCGTGCCAGACACACTAATCAACGCCGTGCGAGCCGCACCACACATCACCGGCCTGACAGTCGTGAGCAACAACGCAGGCATCGTCGGCAGCGGCCTCGGCCTGCTCCTCGAGTCGCAGCAAATCGGCAAGATGATCGCATCCTACGTCGGCGAGAACAAGCTCTTCGAAGGGCAGTACCTGCAGGGCAAGATCGACCTCGAGCTCACGCCGCAAGGCACGCTGGCGGAGCGCTGCCGCGCCGGCGGTGCTGGCATCCCCGCGTTTTACACGCCTGCCGCCGTTGGTACGGTGGTGCAGACGGGCGAACTGCCGCTACGGCATACGCCGCAGGGCACTGTGGCGAAGTACACGCCCCCGAAGGATGTGAAGGTGTTCGGCGGCAAGGCATATGTGCTCGAGGAGGCGATCAAGGCGGACTTTGCCTTCGTCAAGGCGTGGAAGGCGGACCGGCTCGGCAACGTGCAGTTCCGGTACGCGGCGCATAACTTCAACGGTGCGATGGCGCGGAATGCGCGCGTCACGGTCGTGGAGGCGGAGCATATTGTTGAGCCTGGCGAGATTGAGCCGGCGGCTGTACACGTGCCGGGTATCTACGTCAAGCGCGTGGTCCAGAGCACCACGCCGAAAAATATTGAGAAGACTGTCTACGCGAAGAGCAAGGATGAGCAGGTGTCGGGTGCGCTGGGCACGGGCGACGCGGCCTCGAAGCGCGAGCGCATTGTCCGCCGTGCGGCCAAGGAGTTCAAGAATGGGATGTACGCGAATCTGGGCATCGGGATGCCGATGCTCGCGCCGAGCTTCGTGGGGCCCGAGGTTGAGGTGCAGCTGCAGTCTGAGAACGGGATCTTGGGCCTCGGGCCCTACCCGCAGAAAGGCGAGGAGGATCCCGATCTCATTAACGCGGGCAAGGAGACGGTAACCCTGGCCAAGGGAGCCGCTGTGTTCGGGTCAGAGGAGAGCTTCGGCATGATTCGCGCGGGCCGGATCGACCTTACGATTCTCGGCGCCATGCAGGTGTCTGCCCGCGGCGACTTGGCGAACTGGATGCTCCCCGGGAAGATCAAGGGGTTTGGCGGCGCGATGGATCTGGTTAGCAACCCGGCCAACACGCGCGTTGTGGTTACGATGGAGCATACGGATAAGAAGGGCCGGCCGAAGATTTTGAAGCAGTGCGAGTTTCCGCTGACCGGGAAGACGTGCGTGAGCCGGGTTATCACGGAGCTCGTGAGTGGATTTCTTGCGTCTATCGAGCGGCAAAAGGGGCTAATATTTGCAGTGTGTTTTCGATGTTGATTTCGTGGATGGGCTTACGCTCGTTGAGATTGCGGATGGGGTTACGGTTGATGAGGTCAAGGCGAAGACAGAGGCGCCGTTTAAGATCGCGGATGATTTGAAACCGATGCTATAAGGCTGGCCATGGTAGGATTAAGCGTGATGACGGGTACATACGAGGTGGACAGCGATGCATAAAAGCTGGGCTTTGCGCGGCTTGATACGAGTTGGGGCATGCTCTCTTTGTGAGATTGGTTCTTATGTTCCATATGAGGGCGTGCAGAAATCTAGAATAGGGGTAGGACACCGGATCAGCACGCGATTCCGATTCGACGTTTCGTCCCCGATCTGACTGCAATGATAGTCCTACGTCCTCCTCCGCTTGAGTCGGCCGCCGGTATCTTATCCGAATGTAGATGTTCCTCCTGCATCTCGCCATTGTCACAGCATATCTATCCGCTACGCTTAGGATGATAGGAGAAAGGCTCTAAACCGTGCAACGGCAACTTTGGAATCTGGAGATTGAAGAGGAAGAGAGTCAGAGACCCTTAGGAATATACATCCGTACTACGTAAACACGATGACCTTCAATGCTCCTTCCTGACATAAGAATGCTCCTTCCTCACATAGCAATGCTCCTTTATGTCTACATGATAATATACCCCACTGGACTTCGTTTTCGGGTTGAATGATTACTTCGGTGATCTCCAGTAGTGTTTTGTCCAATTTCTGGCTGCACAAAATGATTTTGTCCCAAGAGGTCAGTCTCGATCAACTTAGGAGGTTTCTACACCGACCTAAAGGAGATCTGATACTTCTCAACCTGGAATATCTTCTCCAAACTCAGTAGAGCCCTCTCTCAGGCCTCATGTCCCCCGCCTGACCTCGAGAAGCAAAAGAAAAATTCTCGGGACAATGCCCTTCCTCCGCCATTGCCTTCGCCCGACCACCCCTCAGGAGCAAAAAAGGTACGTTCATCTCATCAAGCCCGAGGCGGGGCTCGAACCCGCGACCTTGAGATAATCCCGCCTCGTTGGGAGGATAAGAGTCACACGCTCTACCGATTGAGCTACCCAGGCTGGTTGACTTGAATGCCAAAAATTGGGCGTGTGGGATTTTGACCGGAAGGCGCCGGACGGGACAGTCTTCGGCGGGGATAAGGTCTGCTTGGGTTTGGGGGACAGCTACCGGTTGACGGGGAATAGCTGACGCTGGATGGGATGGCGGTCTTTTTTTGGATATCCATTTGAATGATGTTAGACGATCTAGGCTGTATTGGCATGGTCCACTCCCCATTGCCTCGACATCACTTACATCACCAACTAACCTTAGAAAACCTCCAACCCCACACACTTTGCGCAAAAGCATAGGATATCACACTGTTCGATTCTCCTATCCTCATGCCTCTCATCCCTACGATGATTAACCCCAGCTCCAGCCCCGTAAAGAACAATCACAATCCCATAGAATCCTATGGCCAGTTTCCGCCACCCACACAGCCCACCACCATAGACACAAGCGCCATGCAATATGCAATGGGTAAACCACCCATGATACCCGACCATGCTTCCAAAGCGGCTCGTAAGAGAGCTCGCCAAACCCCAAATTAGAGTGGCAGAAACGCAAAACCCCGGCTCCTGATCAAACCCCATCCTGCTCAATCCCGCTTATGCCTACACGCCAAACTCAGACAGTATGTCAACGGTCTGGAACTAGCGTTGAACGGTATCAACCTCCCAGCCCAGACAGCGCCTAATGATCACACCCCATGCCGCATACGTTACCTCTTTGCATGCCGTATCGCAATCCTCCCGAACTCATGCCATCATGACAAATACGCACAAACGCTTCCGTGACAAAAGACAGAACCAGCGGCGAACCCTGCCACATGAGCACCTGGCCTGTATCCCAATGCCCCAGTAACATCCCTCGTGACCGTGGGCACAAAACGCCATAACCAGTTCCGAGCCGTCCCATTGGTAAAGTGCATCACTCCCCCAGCACGCAACAACGCCCATCTCACCAACACCTCAACTCTCTCCGCTTCCCCTAGACCACTAAACCACTGCAAGTCATCGAGCAGCCCTTCCTCCCACGTTTCCTGCCTTTGGATCCATAAATTCGTGCGGCTTCCCTGGCTCTTCCGGATCCAAGAACTTGGTCATCACCATACTGAGCTCCTTAAAGTCGACGGGCTTGGTGACGTAGCTGTTGAAGCCCGCCTCGACGCACTTGGCGTACACGTCGCCGAGTACGTTGGCCGAGAGTGCAATTATGGGGCTGTGCGGGTAATTATTCCGCCGCTCCCAACGTCGGATATCTTTGCAGGTCTGATAGCCGTCTTTGTTGGGCATATGAAGGTCGCACTGGAGGATTAGCGTTATGCGTAAGGGATGAGGTATAATTCTTACCAAGATGATGTGATAGTAGTCCGGCCCCTTCTCGAATACTCGATCCGTACACTGGACGCCATCCATCACACAGTCGGTCATAATCGCGACCTTTTTCAAGAATTTGAGCAGCACCTGCGCCTCTTAGCATTTCCTCAAAATGTGGGAGGCCAAGCCTACCATCTGATTGGTCCGATTGTCCTCCACGAGCAGAACTCGAATCCCACGATTCCCTAGCCGTGCCCTCAGATTGTCGAACACCAGCTTCTGGCTGACAGCCACAGCCTGCGCACTATCCTGGTTGCGGTCGGTACTCATTTCTCGCTCGCGCTGCGGATCGAAAATGACAGCCACCTTGGACGGCTTGAGCGGCTTCCACACAAAACGAAGACGGCGCTCCAGCGACAGGCGGTCAAATTCATAGGCGCCACTCGCTTTCTCAGCAATTTCACGACGCTGTGAAAGGTCCGTGATCAACACGACGCAAGTTGAGCCCTTCGCCTTCTTGGCGATGGTCAGGTCGAGGAAGGCCAGTATCTCCGATACGTCCCACAGGGTGAGCACTACATGTGAAAAAATGACCGCACCATCTCCCACAAGCAGATGCCGGCACTCAGCTAGAGACGACATGGGCGTGATGTGGTGCGGTGTACCCTCCGGGATGACGCCTTCAATGTGGCGAACAGTAGCCATGCGCGCGTACTGCAGCGGACAGACCACGAGGATGGAGTACATTGTCGGAACGAAGGCAGCTGGAGGAGTCCCGCTATGCGAAGGGGGAACAACCGTTGCGACGCTCTCAGCTGAGCTCACATCTGAGTGAGAAAGCTTCTCACTCACGCCAGATGCAATTGCACCAGGTGATTCCGTGAAAGGGAGGGATAGATTCATAGCTTCGGTAGTTTTCGCAGGTAAAGTGCTCGAGTTTAGCGATGAAACTGAAGACTTGTCGGATCGCAAACTCGTCTGACCTGTGCGCACCGATGGATTTGAGCTTCCAGAGGATCCAGCGGGCGAAGGAAACAAATACGGAGGCGAGTTGAATGTAGAAGGCGCAGCATCGGTTGGGACCGCATCTTCCACAAGGGTTTGCAAATGACTCCTTACATGTGCTGCCATGCGGGCATGCGTCATATCAGAATTGTCGGGCGGCAGAGGTGGCGCCCCCGGGGTCTGAGCAGTGGACACGCTAGGAGTTAGACCAGCAGCGGCGTCATCGGCCGTCGGAAGAGCGAAATTGATGGTAAAGGTAAACGTTGAGCCCTTCCCGGGAACGCTGCTCGCTTTCATTTTACCGCCATGGAGTTCAACAAGCTGCATTGAGATCGCCAGGCCAAGACCCGTGCCACTATGCTGGCGGGTGCTGCTGGAGTCGATTTGACTGAAACGCTTGAATAGGTATTCAGCTTCCTTTTCGGTGAAACCACTGCCCGTATCGACCACTTGGAATTCAAGCAAAACTTCATCAGCCTTCTGGGGCGAGTCATCGCCCTCATACACGGCACAGTTAACAAACACTTCGCCGTGTTGCGTAAACTTGATAGCGTTGCCGACAACGTTGAGCAGAACCTGACGGATGCGGAACCTATCACCCTTGACACGAGAAGGTACGTGATCCGCGACGATGTAGTTGAGCTCGAGGCCTTTATCAATCGCCATGGCAGACGTCAGGTCATTGACTTCCTCGATGAGTGATCGCACATGCAGCCACTCCATCTGAAGAGTAATCATGCCGGCCTCAACCTTGGAAAGGTCAAGGATATCATTGATCAGGTCCCGCAGCCCTTCAGTACTGTTGCGGATGATGTTGACATGCTCCATTTGTTCGGGACTGAGGTTACTGTCGATGAGGAAGTTAACCATCCCGGTGATTCCATTGAGGGGCGTTCGAATCTCGTGCGACATGTTGCTCAGGAACCTCGTTTTAGCATCCATAGTATCTTTGAGCGTCTGCTCCAGCAACTTGTGATCGTTGATGTCCGTACAGGTTCCATACCACGTCTCCTCTTCCGTACCATCCTGGCGCGTTGGCTCGGACAGTAGCACACGAACCAAATGCCATCGGTACTCCCCATCCTTGTTGCGCAGCCGTACTTCGGTTGAGTAGCTGGGCCGGCCATCAGCGTCCCTGCTGACCTTCAAAATTCCAGTGCTTGCCAGCTTGAAAAGCTTCGCCTGCGGAAGTGAGGAAGTCGGCGGTGAGAACATGCTAGGGCTCTTGACGGTCCGATCACTCTCGGAACTGTCGTCCTCGTCCTTATATCCTGGAGCACTGGCACCGCTAGCACCACTGGCTCGTCGGTTATCTTTCCCAAATAGCGGCATGTCGGGTGGCATTGAGGTTGGAACGTCCGGAGTGCCATCCTTATCAATAGTGGGCAGCCGGCATTTGTCAAGATCATCAGGATGTACAAAGTTCATGAAGCCGAGTTCGCGCGCTTGAACTTCTGTCTGTCCGGAGTAGGTAAGCCATTGCGAATTGCAGAAAGTGAGGCCTCTGGTCCGTGTGACGGCGAAGACGATCTGTGGGCTTGAATTCGCCAACGTACGATACTTGGCTTCCGACGCCGCAGTCTCGGCTTGCCGGGCAGCATTCACTTCTGCAACATGCTGCTCGTGGATGTCCATGTACGTCCCGGTCCAGTGCACGATCTTCTGCTTCCGGTCCTTGAGGGGAGTTGCTCGGACGAAGAACCAGCGGTAGACGCGATCGAACCGCTGCAGGCGCACTTTATGAGAGAACGGCTGACCGGTGGACAGAGAGCGATGCCACTGCTCCATGTAAGACTCCCTGTCGGACGGATGAATGGACTGCCATGGGTCGCGGAGCACAGTGTACATTTCCCCTCCACGATAAGCGATGAACTTCGAATTGACCCAGGTGACGGCCCCCGTGCCTGGATTGGCGGTAAAGATCTGTACCGGTAAGCAGTCGATGATCGTCCTTAGGAGACGCTCAGAAGGAGGAAGAATTTTATGCGTCTCTTCGTCATCAGGTCCCTTCGGAGAATTCGAATGCCCGGGCGCTGGGGTCTGTACCAGAGGCGTGGTCGTAGATGGCAAAGACTGAAAAGTCGAGCTGAAGTCAGCACCGTATGAGTGCAGCTGTGAATGCTGCTTGCGCTCCATCCGTTCATGGAGAGTTGGGGCCGCTGAGCCCTTGTTGGGAACTCGCTTAGATGTCGCCAGGCGTACTGCTCTGATGGTCTCCGATCTCGCATGTCCCTTTTCGTCCGACCGTGACGAAACTGGCTCCATCTTTGGAGTGTGATCATTATCATCCTCATCTCCTTTCCTGGAAGCCGGTCTAGCGTCCGGAGGGCTCTCTTTCTCTTTCTGGCCCATCTGTGAATGCCCGGGTGCACCTGGTGTTCCCCCAAAGGTCGTCGCCGTCGACCGCCGTTTGGAGTCAAAATAACTGTCCACCATTTCGGTACCCGTTTGGTGCCCTGGTGTACCGGATGCGGAATGCCTGCTAGAAAAGCCTCCCATCGAGTTATCCCACCCTGGAGTGCCCGACATTGACCCACCAGGACTAGCGCGTGAGCGGCCTGAGTAATCCGACGGACTCGTCATGCTACCTGTAGCAGAGTCATTCGACATATCAATGTCGGCCTCCATTAGATTTTCAAGACCTTCACTCTCCGGCGCTAACAAGGCGAAACCGACACGGTGTGTGGAAAGGCCCC